GGGATCGATTCTACTGGCCTTACATGAAGACCGAGACAGAAGGCTATTGTCATTCCTGTTTACGTTGTATTCAGAGGAAGACGTTACAGAACAGAACTGCTCCAATGAGCCACCTTGAAAGTCAAGGTCCCATGGACTTAGTGTGCATTGATTTCCTGTGTTTAGAGCCTGACACCAGTGGACAAGGAAACATCTTGGTAGTAACTGATCATTTTACTAGATATGCTCAGGCCTACCCCACCAGAGATCAGCGAGCTTCCACTGTGGCTAAAGTATTAGTGGAAAAGTTCTTCGTCCACTATGGGTTGCCTCAGAGAATCCATTCTGATCAAGGCCGAGACTTTGAGAGCAGACTCATCAAGCAACTGCTAAGCTTGTTACAAATCCAGAAGTCCAGAACTACTCCGTATCATCCCCAAGGAGATGCACAACCTGAACGATTTAATCGCACGTTGCTTAATATGCTAGGGACTTTGACTACTGAGGAGAAACAACATTGGAGTCGACATATTTCCACTATTGTTCATGCTTACAACTGCACAGAAAATGATGCAACTGGGTATTCGCCCTATCGCCTCATGTTCGGAAGAGAGGCTCGATTGCCAGTAGATATAGCCTTTGGCTTCAGATCAAACTTCTGTTGCCACTCACAGAGGCTATGTGGAGCGACTTAGAAGAAATCTGGCATCTGCCTATGAGAGAACTCGTTGTTTCGCAGAAGGCAGAGAACAGCGAAATAAGAGGAATTATGACCTGAGGGTACGAGTTCAAAATCTTCAGCCAGGAGACAGAGAATTGCTGAGGAACTTAGGACCGGCCGCTAGACATAAACTAACTGACAGGTGGAGCTCACAAGTCTATATTGTTTGTAAACAATTACATGGCCTTCCAGTGTATCAGATTCGACCTGAAGGGAGAGAGGGACCTTTAAAGAATTGGCACAGAAATCACTTGCTATCCTTAAGTGAAGCTGTCCGTGTGCCGGTCAGTGAAGAACCCTCTACGCCTGTCCCACATGCTTCACGGAGAGTCCCAGTTACCAGATCCCAGAGATTGAGGACAGAGAGGGACACTGAAAGTGACAGTGATGAGGAATACTGGCCAGTAGTATAGGGAGGTTCGGACATTGTTAAAGGGAGACCTTAAAAGGGACATACACCCCATTCAGGGGAAAGCCTTTAGAGACAATTGGCCTCACATACCTCAGTACTGACAGCAGATAGCTGCAGTTACTGGGTCGCAGAGTGCCTCAGCCTGTTGATACACATTATTGTTGGGGATTTCTGTCATTACTATTGTATCATAGTTGTTCATCTCTGATTTGTCAGTAAATCTGCTATAAAACTGTTCAAAGGTGTGTTGGTGTGCTGTGGATCCACGCTTTGGGCGGTACATTGGTGTAGGGGGATAGAAATATCCGGTTATTCAGCGGCTCCTTCGGGGGTGAGCGCTACATTATTACCCCATTTTTGGGTAAAATATAAAAGATGGGGTCACGTGGGGTAAATAGACACCAAACATGTGAAGCCTTAAAATTGTGCGTGCACTTGAAACCTCAAAAAACTACAATACCCACAATTGGCCATCAGTGACGCTTTAAAAGCTTTTACAGCTAATTAGTTTAGTGTTATCAGTGATTGATGGCCCTAAAATGATTGCTCACACTCTGACGTTCGTGGCAATATGTAACGTGTAGCGCAATTGTCATTTTCGCGCGCTGGCGCACCCGATGTTTGTTTTTACGTTTGTATGTGTGCGAGGGTGGGGGACCTAAAAATGTTGGGGGGTTTTTTTAAACATTTTTTTTATATGTGACGTTTATTTTTTTTACACGTAATGTTACTGCTATCACATAGGGGGCTAACAATCCACCCATGTGATAGCACAGGCACACTGACAGGTCCTCTTTATGGAGACATTAGGTGTCTCTAGGGGACCCCCTAAGAAGCTGATGAAGCAGAGATCTGCTTTACCAGCTTTTTCTCTGGCTCTCAGCCAGAGAAATGACAGCTGAATGCGGAAGTAATGTGTCTCACATCACTTGCGCAGTCATACGTTGGAGGGAGATTAGCAACAAGAAAGATGCTGATCTCCCTCACATCTTCCTCCTGACACCCTCCTGGGCCGCAGATGGAGCAGCGGAGCCCGGGATTGAAGGTG